TGTGTGTGTGTGTGTGTGTGTGTGTGTGTGTGTGTGTGTGTGTGTGTAACGGGATGGCAAACATGTTTATCTTTAATGTCAACATCAAGTTGTCAGCTCTCCGGGGAGTTAACCTAATCTACAAGATCAGTCTATGATGAGGACATGCCCCCTGACACAGAAACGTCCCGTTGTGACGAGAGCGCCCCCTATCACTTAGGAAGGCAGCGCTCAGTAAATGCGCATGCCCAGCAGGTCCAGACGTGAAGCTCAAGGGTTGTGAGCTCCAAGGGGCAGGGAACCTCCGTGTCCCTCTGTCACGGCGTGCGCTCCTTTTTTACGCTGCCCCCGAAGTGGGGCCCGCAGTCATGTTAAAGCCCTGACCTGCCATTTCCTTTTCGTGACATTCTATGGGGTGGTGGTTCGTGCGTTAGGCATTGCGAAAGCAGGGTCCGTGCCAACAGATCAACGGGGTAAGTGCAGGTATTTTAATTCTCCCCTGCCTCTCGGCCCAGGACCCCCCCAGTGCCCACTTGAGGGGTTGTCGCACGTCTCTCTCCATCTGCTCCCTGTTAGGCAGCTGCTGACTTTGGTAACAAGGAGGCTGGTGTGGCTGGTGGACGGAGCACGCTGTTAGTGTAATTTGGCAGGAGGCTGCATGCTGGCACCGAAGGGCAGTGAAAACGAGAGAAGGTGAGGGTATTTCCACGGGGCCGGGGGTGGGGGATAGGGAGAGTGGTGAGGCCAGGCAACCTCGCTGCCACCCGTGGCTGACGCCCTTGGGGAGCTGCTGATCTGAATTAGACCGAGGTCCAAGCAGAGACACAGTTTCTCCCCTCTCAAACCCCAGGAGTTCTCCAGGCCTGCGTTTTCCAGCTCCCCACAAACATTTCCAAATTAATAAAAAAAATAAAAATACGTGTGGAAAAATACAGTAAAAGTGACAGCGCCTTCCCAGTTTCCGACAGCCCTGTTTAGACTTCACAATCAGCCAAACTGGAGCCCCTGAGTAGCTGGCTTAATTTGTCACCTTGAATTATTAACCATTTCCCTGCCTCTCTCGGTGGGTGTCCTCCTGGCTTCTCGCCCCTGGCTGGCTCAGCGAGCTGTTACTCCTGTGCCCTTTCTCTCGGGCTCATGGCTTTGCCTGAAGAACCTTTGCAGAGTCCAATGTAAATGTGCTTCACTGTCACCTCCCTGTTGGTTTTCGCCAAGTGGTGGCTGAAATAGAGGGTGATGGGTCAGGGCAGGAAAGAATGACTCCAGAGGCAGCTCTCTCGTGGTTCCTTCCGAAGTCCAACAGTTCAGCACATTTCTCTTGGTTAAGGGCCAGAGGCAGAGAAAGGCTCGTTTTAGAACTGGGATGATATAGGATAGAGTCTATTGGGAAGCAGAGAGAGAACTGAGTCATTTATCTTTCATTTCAGCCAAGGTACTCTTTGTGGCATGCATCTCCTCCTCTGGACACCTTCTCTCTCTCCTTTTCCCACCATCTCTCTGGTACCACGGACCTTCATATACCTTCTTGGGTGTTCACTAGCTTCCTGAGCAATACCATATATTGAGACCGGTTCCCAATATTCTCCTCTCCCTCAAAACCTCCATATTCCCATACCATGCTCCTTGGAGCCTTGCACTTTTGGGCCATCCAACTTATTAATATGAGAAATGAATCCAAGCTCATGAATCCTCTGGGAGCCATGTTTTAATGCATTCCTCAAGAAGAGTGCATTTCAAACCGAAGGGTGTTTTTTATAAACAAACTTAACTTGGATTAAAAATTCCGTTTTATTTTTGTAAAATGTAAATTTTATTATTTTCAAGGAGGTAGCAAATTTGCATGATTTATAATTCTACGTAGAAATGTGCACCTAATAAAAACTATTGCTTCCAGTAACCTAGCTCCTTCTCTGGAGGGAACTGAAATTGCTAGTTTATTGCCTATTCTTCCCCAGATGTTTTAGGCACATGTGAGGAGTTATA